GATGATGGTACCTCCTTTCTGGCCAAGTTCGAATGCCGATCTCCCTGCCAAGACTACCACAACGTAACGTTTTTCACTTTATTTCGCCATTTGTGGCCATTTGTAAAATCTAATTCACGCCAATTTGCAGGTCAAAAACGAATACTGGTGTTATTATGAGTCGTGCACTGTGAGTTCTATAAATGTGATTCTGGATCAAGCAATGACGTGGACAGACTATATATATGATCTCTTGAGCTTTCATGAATACGGGAATGTTATTTCGGATGAAACACATCGGTGGCACGCCTGACATACATTCCGTTCAGGTTAGGCAGAGACTAATCTGTCAAAAACGTCTCATATATCCACAATAATTGAGATTATCATAAAATCGACATTCATTCATTCATATATTTATTTACCCACAGGATAATAATTATATTGAGTGCCATATGCTGAATTTCTAACCTTTCCTAAATCTTGCTATAATCCAGGGTATTGTTCATTGTGTGGTCTACATTTACAATCTACTGTATCTCCTGTTTTGAATTTAAGTTTTCAACAAACTGGATTAAATCCTCAGATCATGGCGATGGATGGCCTCTGAAATAAGTCAGCTCTATAGCAACAAGAAAAGCCTTTAAAAAGGCAAAGTTCGGGGCACCTGAGTAATTTAAGAAATTTAGTGAGAAGGGTGTGAGATGATTTGGGGGTGAAGCTGATTTCAAGAGCACCACGATGACCATACCTCCGTGTATTAGAGACTTGCTTCTGTTAGAGATCGGTACTGGCATCGTAAATACGGTACTCTCATCTGCAGTATATGACATTTCATATCAAAGGTCTATGTCATGTCTAACCATGAGTGAGTGAGTGAGTTTAATTTTACGCCGCACTCAGCAATATTCCAGCTATATGGCGGCGGTCTGTAAATAATCGAGTCTGGACCAGACAATCCAGTGATCAACAGCATGAGCAGTGATCTTCACAATTGGGAACCGATGACATGTGTCAACCAAGCCAGCGAGCCTGACCACCCGATCCCGTTAGTCGCCCCTTACGACAAGCATGGGTTATTGAAGCTTCATTCTAACCCGGACCTTCACGGGTATGTCTAACCATGTCTTGAAATGAAGTATTGTGAATGTGAATGAATGTAGCTGCTTCATGCTGAACCTTATATTAGCAACGTTTGTGCCAAGGACATAGCACAGTAGAGTATGGGTACGCTGTGCCACTTTATGCGTTAATGAGTTAGGAAAAGACGAATTTCGAAGTGATAACATTTGTATTGAGATAATAATTATGTTGAGGAGACATTTCTTGAGTGGTTGTACTGTTGATAGTAATTGGAGACACGATTCATGGACAGCTGTGTCGGCTGTAGATATTATTTTTCTCTCTTTGTGAGTGAGTGAGTGAGTTTAGTTTTACGCCTTACTCAGCAATATTCCAGCTATATGGCGGCGGTCTGTAAATAATCGAGTCTGGACCAGACAATCCAGTGATCAACAGCATGAGCATCGATCTGCACAATTGGGAACCGATGACATGTGTCAACCAAGTCAGCGAAACTGACCACCCGATCCCGTTAGTCGCCTCTTACGACAAGATAGTCGCCTTTTTATGGCAAGCACATGGGTTGCTGAAGACCTATTCTACCCCGGATCTTCACGGGTCTTCTCTCTTTGTAAAACCCTTAGCCGCACCTTTAACGGTACTCCGAGCGACAGCGAGGGCAATACACAACGCTGCACGAGTTTCGTATAAGTCATATGGCACACTTGCTCGAGTATAATAATGTCTTTATTATCCGTTTTATCCATGTACATATGTGCAGTAAAACACGGTAAGCAAGTTTAATGACGTCACGGACGACGAATTACAGAAAAAATGGTTGCTAGGCAAAAGTGATATGTGCACATGTGATATATATGACACTGGTTATGTTTCACCATATGGGTAATAAATACCATTAATAAACATTTGCCATACTGACAACTGAATAATTTCCCATGTCGTACCGGCTATGTCGACTCTGGCTCATTTACTCCTGTAGGACAGCAGAGGCGGATCCAGAGAGGGGTGGGTGGGTGGGGTTGGGGGTTCGGCCCCTTTTGAAAATGGCTAGAGACCACATTGAAGTTAAGTTTTGCAATGGCAATGGCAATTAGGAATGTGTGCGCTACGTCTGAATGTCGGGGACATAATCTGATATTTAAAAGAAGTCAAGGAAACTCACCTGTGCATTGTAATAACACGAAAAACATGCTAAATATAACAATTTATACCATTAGGTCATCTAGACTGAAAAATATTGAATGAAAGGCAGCATCATTAATATTTATAAGTGGAAACTTGCCCTCTTTTCTATATATACTTCTTATCATTGGGAAAAAACTTATGTTTAAAAAAAATTAAAGGAACATCCAAGTACAAAGGTACAGTAATGAATGTACACACACGTATGTGAAGGTTGAAGCATGTTTAACAATAAGTTGCATGAATCTGTCAGTTGGGAGCGCCAGAACGTATATGACGATACTTTAAACAAACGGTGCTCACAGTTAGAGAGTCCGTGCAGTTCTATAACCATGTAGACAGAACCTGACGGTGTAACTCCTTCTGGTGTTACAACAAGCCCGTCTCAACAAACAGTAACAGTGTCTCATACTAACGCTACAACACCATTGTGCAGGCACTACCGGCTCGGTTTTGACCGATGACCCATGGACCCCAGATGTGTGACCGGCGACCGGTGACCGGCAATTCCTCACCTTGCCTTGCTTGCACATCCATATCCAGTCAGGTTATCTTTGGAGAGGGTGTTCTTGTTTGCATTAGCTTTTCACACTGTGTTTACAAACAATTCGTGTATACATTTTTAACATAAACGCTGTTTGTATTTCAAAATACACAGGGGCGGTGGGTAGCCTGGTGGTTAAAGCGTGTTCGACCGGGTTCGAATCCCCACATGGGCACAATGTGTGAAGCCAATTTCTGGTGTCCCCTGCCGTGATATTGCTGGAATATTGCTAAAAGCGGCGTAAAACTATACTTACTCACTCAAAATACATCACTGATTGTGGCGCCCTACTGATGCCTTACATGTTATTCACTGAGTGAGTGAATGGGTTTAGTTTTGCGCCGCTTTTAGCAATAATCCAGCAATATCACGGCGGGGGACACCAGAAATGGGATTCATACATTGTACCCATGAGGGGAATCGAACCCGGGTCTTCGGCGTGACGAGCGAACGCTTTAACAACTAGGCTACCCCACCGCCCCTCCTATTCACTGACCAAGACGACGACTGGCATGATGGTACCCATTGAATTCATTGAATTTGTTGTGGCAATAGATTCCTCTGTATACAAATAATAAGTATTTCTGTTTAGTTACAACGAAAGAGAAGTCACGTCGTATTAATTTCAAGATTTACGGTATTCTGCCGGTTTGGTGTACATGACAGTGTGTGCGCGCCCGGTGCATGTTCCATCTGTTATCTATAAGCCTACTGTACAGACGACGTGTTATCAACTGTACATATCTATGATATGTCATGCCATGTAGCAGAAACGAGGTCGTGGGTAGCCTACTGGTTAAAGCGTTTGCTCGTCAAGCCAAAATCCTGGTTTCTATTCCCCACATACGTGCAGTGTGTGAAGCGCATTTAGAGAAAGGTTTTGGTTAAAAACGCTTAAAAGCGACAAAACCGCTAACTCACTAACTCGTTCCACGAGATAATCAAAATTGTCTTTACTGAGTTACCGTGTATCAATTTGATAGAGAAAGATGCACGTGTTTTACGGGTCTACGTTTACAGCCACGGTGAAATCCTCCAGCTGTGGTATGGCACTGGCGTTATGGGGTCGAAGTAGGAGGTTAAACCGCAGTTACCTATATCTGGCGTTCCCCAGCGCACACCAAATTTCGGCCTTCGACAGGGACATCCCACAAGCGCCGGCCGCGAGAGGCGAATGAATGGACCAGTGGTCAGGCTGGTGGTCAAGACCTGGTAGACTTCGTGTTATCGTATCTTGACTGTGTGCATTGTTGCTCATCACCTCAATCACCGGATTATCTGGTTGAGTCTTGAAACAAAAGGATTGCACATGTGTCATGTCCATGAAGGCCATAGGAGTTCTCATTACACTATCGCACTGCTTTATAACTGCAAATAACCACCATTAAACCACACACTCACTATAGTATATGTAATCGGGCAGTGGGGTAGCCCAGTGGTTAATACGTTCGCTCGTCACGCTGAAGACCGGGTTCGATTCCCCACATGGGTACAATGTGTGAATCCCATTTCTGATGTTCCCCGTCGTGATATTGCTGGAAGATTGCTAAAAGCGGCATTAAGCTAAACTCACTCACTCACCCACCCGGGTAAGCGCCATACTGGACGGTTTTCCCCATGTTTATAACTCCTCAGTATCATTGACCTATAAGCAGACTAGCATGTTATGTCATAAATTCATACCAGTCTTCTCCCAGGCTGATCACGAACGCCGAACAGTGATATAATAGTACATGTGATACACAGAGTGTGTGGAGGACTTGACGGGCTGCCATGTCGCCCTAGGCTGGTTGAGCTGTGTGTATACTAACGCACACTCACATTCTGGTCATGTCAGTCCCTCTTTCCTTGGTTTAACGGTATCTGTGGGCCCGACACGATGGGTCTGTAGGACGTATGTTCATTACAGACTAACTTTGTGGAGGGTTCTCAAAACGGGAAACGCACAGGTGAGAGCAGTTCAACCAAAATTGGTGTCTTGAAAAGTGACAGTGATATCACATGGAGCCCTCGTTCGTGCATCACACTGAAGAACTGACGCCAAGTCACTGTTGATGTTCCGGTATACAGCAAGACGGTGTTTACAGGGAAACAATGCCAGACAAGCATTCATTGGATGGGAGTGACGAGGGGGGTGATGAGGGGGGAGTTGCCACGGAGCTGCTTGAGGGGGAGGAAGGGGGGTGTCGGAGACTGACGGTGGAAGGGACGACAGGGACTGCGGGTAGTGAGACATATTTACCTGATGCTGAGACAAATATACTATCTATCATGATGATGATGATGATGATGATGATGATGAAGAGGAGGAGGAGGTGGAGGAGAAGGGAGGGCTTATCAAGGCGAATCACTCAGAGTGCATGTTGGAGGAGTCGCCCATTGAAAACCATCGGCAGGCGTTTGCAGGAAAAGGTATGATTCTATTTATAGTTTCCCCTTATAACTTACTTTATTAATCTTTCTGAAACGGTTCATATACGTTCTACCGTATTTTCAGAGAATTTGAAGTACTCAGAACAAAACTGAATGATTGTGGGTTTTCTCGGCTTTTGAAAAATTGTCCAAGACTATTACGGCTGGGAACATCAAGAAATGGCTTGACATACAACATACACGCAGTGTACCAATATGCGATTCAAACTTAATATAAACATACTTCAAACTTATCTTGAATTAATCTTAGTTGTGGTGTATTCCACTTTAAATCTTTGTGTTTTCCTAGATGCCAGAATGGTTATGAAACAGGTGGTGTCTTTTCGAGCAATTCTTGTCCATATCATCTTTAAGTATGCCTGATTTTCGGCGGAAAATGGACGTATGGTTTGTTTGAGTGGTGTTATCTGTCTCACGGCGCATACTTCTCAAAATGTGAAAGGGATACCTAATTATTGTATACGTACTATTGTTATAGCGTATATAGAGAATACTACACGAGGTCTCATTACATACGAATTATACGAAACGAGTGTCCTTCCTATGGTATCTGACCGAGCGAAAGCGAGGTCAGATAACATGGGAAGGTCACGAGTTTCGTATAATTCGTATGTAATGAGACCGAGTGTGGTATTTTATTTATAACCCACGTCTTACATGCATTAAATTGACAAAATAGCGTATTTTTGTTAATATTTTGGTTTCAAACCGAAACCGGTTTCATAAAGAGGTTGCGGAAGAGTTTTGCACTGTAGTACAATATTTGCATGACGTCACTGTAATGACGTCACTGCCTTGGTAACCGACGTCACGATGCATGTCAGTTGTCATCGCCTCGTACAACCTCCTACAGTAAACTACTCCGTAGCACCCCGTTTCTTGGTTTGCAGTTGCTTCGTTCGGCTAACATCACTGGTGGAAACATTGCGTTTACGTTTTTCGACGGGCATAATGTCTCAGTTCGGCTCACAATTAAACAGCGACACGGCAACGTTCTCGATGCTTACATTCCCACAATGCATTTAAGTTGTAGAATGAATGGATTCACGTGTTTGTTATGAATGAAAAAATAGTTACGTCAGAATGTGACCTAATTGATGGGTCATCGGTTATCCAATCAAATCGTTAGAATCTGAGGTCAAGTCGTTACGACACAGGTCAACGCGATACGACACACGTGTGACGTACGAGATTAGTATGCAACTACCCATACGTTGACCACGTGGGTAATAAAATTCAGGACAGCCATCGTCCAAATATTTCTAAAGACCAAAAACTATGTTGCCAAGCCATGTGTGACTTAATTGTAATCATTCAATCTGCAATCTTAATCCTTATCACTTCCGCAGTGTACATTGTCTTGTCAGCCACCCTGTACCACTCTGTCACTGTCATTAATGATTGTATATGACATTTATAGCCTTAATTGGTCACACCCCTTGGCCGTGTCTACCATCGCATCAACTGGTCAAGGAAGTGCTATTGTTTCTCTATCTGTCCATTGTTCAGTCTTCGCCTTCCGTTGTTGTCAAAAACTGTATGTATATGCTCACATCTATATCGTCAAGGAGTCCGGTATTCTGACTGTCTGTGTAGGGACGACTGCGAGCAGGATAATGCCACTCGTAGGAAACGCCCTGGAGTTGAGCAGGTACTCCGGTCACCTCTTACTTGTATACTGGTTTGCCATGTCTTGTGAAACCAACTAAAGAAGTTTGAACTCAACCTATCCTTCGTCTTTGTCAACTATATTATACGTATAATTATGAGCTAATTCCCCAGTCGGCCACATCTATGCTTTGACACTATTTACGTATGCACGTACTATTAGTGGTCAGTTGGAATTATAAGAAATTGTTTCAATAAATGCTTATATGGACGCTTCGGATAGTATTTCGTTACATGACGACTGTCAACTTTACATCAGAGGAAAACCTGACATATAACAGGTACAAGGCATGTAATACTTTGTAAGATGTGTTACATTATGTACTTGTACATCCCACGTGTACAGGAGTAATGCTAATAATTTAAGGCTCAAAGTCGGAGTGTATGTGAAGTTCTACTGGCAGTTGATCCGGGCAACAACCAAGGAGCACAATGATGTCCAGTGCCTACTGTATTAGCCGATGTTGGACGTAAAAAAAAATATGGGTTAGTCAGTTGTGTTGTGGACATTGTGACGCTTGTTGGTAGGACGTTCATGTAGCGATGTTTGTTTGTTGAGCGATGTTTGTAAGGTTAAACCGTTGAACGTGATACTTCTAACTGATTGTTAATGCTCGAAAGGCCGAAATAGCTGTCAATGTGGCTTTAACAGCATTTAAAGGGCATTGTAAAATGCTGGGTTGTTCATGTTCATGTTCAAGTAGAGACGTTACCTTTTGAGCTACCCGGATCCTCAGTACTTTGCGCGTTCGGTGAATTTGTAATATCCCATACTGAAACAAGACCATTCTTGCTGCAGTTTAATTGGCTAACCGAATAGGCTTGAAAATGCAAAAGGTCTAATTCAAAGACTGTTGACCACGAGAGAGGGATAGACTAGGTGAAGGTGGGTACCACTCCACACAACCAACCCACCCACTAACTTAAGCTCTGTATGAATAAACACACTTTAATAGCCACCCACTGAATGGTGTATGATTGACCAGTGCTGTTGTTCGTATTTATACTTATTCAAGCTAGTGAGTGAGTGAGTGAGTGAGTTTAATTTTACGCCGCACTCAGCAATATTCTAGCTATATGGCGGCGGTCTGTAAATAATCGAGTCTGGACCAGACAATCCAGTGATCAACAGCATGCGCATCTATCTGCGCAATTGGGAACCGATGACATGTGTCAACCAAGTCAGCGAGCCTGACCACCCAATCCCGTTAGTCCCCTCTTAAGACAAGCGTGGGTTGCTGAAGATCAATATTCTAACCCGGACCTTCACGGGCATATTCCAGCTACTACAGATAACCTTACTTTCCGATCACAATGACGATAAAGTTGTGTACCTTAGCGACGCAATTTTCACTACACAAAATGACTGTGTTACCCAAATATACTAACGTAAGGAAATACTCGTTTCATACGGCGGCCATATGAACAACGTTTGAAATCTACGTATCATCTGGCCGTCAGATTTACACACGTTTAAAGGGGTGTTAAAATAAACGAACATTCAACTCTTCATTTACATGTATTTCACAGGTTTGTAAATCTGGCCATTGTTTGCATGTGTTTCCTAACGTGTGTAACATATGTAAATGCTGTGATTGTAGGACATGCATTTCAATACCTTTGAAATCTCGTATGACCAGGGTTAGGTTTGTCATATATTTAGTATATGCGTAAATGGTTGGTAATGGGTAAATAGAGTGTTACAAGATTGACACTACATTAACATGTATTTCAATGGTTCTGTAATATAACTCTCACATAGGGTTCGTTAGCGCGTCCGACCACGCCATAATGTAATGAGATAATTAGAAACACATGGTGAAGTGATACCCATGACTGAACACCACTATTAACGTGCGTGTCTTTCTTGACATACACATGATATCTGTTTAAAACGTTCAAATATCGGGTCTATGGGCCAGAGCGATATGTATGTTAGGGAGTGTGTGTGTGTGCGAGGGAGCGGGTGAGGCATGGGGTAGGCCTAGGGTGGGGTTGTGGCGGTGGGTCGGTGTTGGGGTACTGATAAGTCTTTCTGACCAGTAGGTAATATCGTTTATACTTTTTTGTAATGGAAATTACATAACAGTTTAAATACCTGACCTTAGGTACACTTCTTGTATATGCTATACAAGGAGACACTGCTAATTACAATAAAACACAGACAGATGTGTTCACACAGACATGAACCGGTAGGTCCCTAATTTTAGTGCTCACTTGTATGAGTTATCGGACTGATCATAACTGAACAAATTCCATTATCCATACTTTCATAAAAGATGATTACAATGTATAAATGATTCCCGGCGTAAATTTCTGTGGTAAATTTGTGAACATGCACATACTTGGTATGACCTCTTTTTGATTCGGAATACAGGTATTATCCCATACAGACGTTTCCTCAAATTTCAGTTACCCGACGGAATATATCGTAGACTGTTTCCATCTCTTGGGTAGACTACATAAAATTGTAGTGATTGCAATTAGCTTATAATTTTCATCATAGACCTATTTTGTTTCCATCTGTTGGGTAAACTATAGAAAATTGTAGTGATTGCGATTAGCTCATATAACTAAGCAGTTTTGATAATTATTGAAAGCTTACTACCTGACAGCATTTATGTTGTTCATGCGTTTTCTTTTTTGCTGTCCAATTTGTTATATATTATATAATTATGTTAATCATTTTGGTATCTCAATATCATGGAATATAATGTGTACTTATTAATCTATCAAAGTACCGAAACGTATTATATGTATGCTTTACTGTTATTGGGTGAACCTGTTAAAAGTACCTTCGTACAGAATTTCCAGGAAATAGAAACTGAAAATTACTAGATAAATAGAAAACTAAATTGGATAAAGATTGCAAACAATCATTATATATATTCCTCTTTTAAATTATCTTTGTACAGATCATGTCACTAACATAAAAACTGAAGGATATATGGTGACAAAATATATATTATGTATATATATATAATACATGGTCTCTGCTGAACCACATTATTTTCCCTACTGCTTAGTCTGTCTCACAGTCCCTGAACCACATTATTTTCCCCACTATCAATCCCTCTCTGCAATGCTAAAGCCTTAAATGAAGCAAGACTAGATCTCCTCAGGTCCAGGGTCTGTTAACATCTGCAAGAAACCTAACTAACTTTGGAGGTCGGGTTACAAAGTAAACATATCTAACTGCCATGGCTGGCCGGACTGAATCTCGTGTCTCCATAGGGCTCCTTTTCATTATAAATGGGTTTGTTTGTTACCATCAAAAAATATATATATTCAGACACTAAGCGTTAGTCTAT